ATCTAGAACCACACGCTGTAGCTCAGGGGTAGTCCTGAAGACATTTTTTACAAGCAGATTCTGCTCTGTAACCTGAGAATCTAGGATGAAAGTTGCCTGAACTTGAGCATTTTTTCATAGATGTCCTTATTACTTATTTTGCAAGGTTTTCTATATTTTTTTTTTTACTTGTTTTTAGAAATGTACACGTGTTGCATATTGGTATATGATGTGGGTTTCACAGCTCTTACCTGGACTGACGACACAGCAGAATCCAATGAAACACACACTGGCTTTAAGAGATAAAATTTCCCTGGGGGATTTATTCCATCTAGAAACAGGGTGTAAATATCACCTATGACTCTAAGCATAGTGAATCATAGTAATCGTATTGGATAATCATGTATATTAACTTATGGACATAAGATGTCCTATACCAAACACATATATTATTATTATTATTATACAGTATTTATAAAGCGCCAATGGTTTGCTCAGCGCTGTACATTACAAAGGGGGACAAACATGTGACAGAACAATACCAATACAATGCAAAACATGAGGGGATCGAGGGCCCTGCTCTTTCGAGCTTACAATCTAGGAATTAACAAGTATAAATGTTACTGCATAAAATAGTTACCAGCACTTAACTATAATGAGTGCCAAACACTCCCCTTGTCTCCTGATATCTGACCAGAACAAAAGTTCCAAAAATGCAGTCTCTAGATGGGGCCCGTTGGAGCTCTTTTTAACATAGGTGAACTGTTAGACAGAATGTGGCTGATTTCATCAGCAAATCCTACAAAAATGTCTTTGAAAAATATAGTAGCAATCCTGGGTAAATGGCTTGTTCTCACTTCAGCACATATCTCTCATTTAGGGATTACTCTGTAATTTCACTGTCTCCGATATATGTATTCAGACTTTGCAGACAACCGAGGGAGACAACACACACATTACTAGTCTCTGGTGCTGGTAAAATCAGTACAGCGACTTGGCGGGAAATTCCACTGGGTATCTCTGTCTGTGTCAGTGTGTCTCTAAAATGGCGACTCAGCAGAGTAACACCGACCTCATGGAGGGAGTTGCAGACAGCAGTACTCACGTCCTATATGATCTTTCACTCAGTTCAACTGTTCAGCCTCCTCTCAGTCCTCTAAGGTCCTGCAGCGCTGTCTCTGGTGTCCAACAATGACAACGGGTTCCTCTTTTCGCCAGCCCCTCCGCACTGACCTTCCCCTCTCCTCACCAAATCGTCCCTCCTAGACTTCCTGTGCCAAGCCAATCATAGAGCTGGATCTGGAACTGTTGCTAGTGGCATCTTGTGGCCGAATAAGATATTGCATCAAATTCACATACGGTACTATAATGTCTGCAGTTCTATTATTGGTAATAAGAGGTTGTTACACACGTTATATTGGAAAAACACACAAAACAGTGAGATTTTTGTTCTTTTGTTAGTCTTTTAGAGCATAGTGCTTCCCCCAAAGGAGCTGCTTGATATGATGGGTTTTCTGTTCTGCCACAACTGCTTAAACTGCTCGATCCACTGACACATCTGGTTATAGATTGAAGGCCGCTCACACCTGCTTATATAAGCATTAGTATGCTACCACTGCATAATAGTACATAGAAAATAAGCCACAAGCTACCAAATGGTAGAATAAATGGGTGTATTATGGCAAGGAAGTTAAACAAAGCATAAATCAGTAAACAGGCAATTGAACACGTCTAAAAATGCTGGACTAGACCATGTAAACACTAAATAATAAGATGGCAATCAACTGTACTGTAGTAATGCTATGTCAAATTTTAACTGATGCAAACAGGGTTAAAAGTATCAGCATTACCTAACCAAATAATACATTTTCTTGTGCGCACAATATGCATAAAGCCCCAGTAGTGGAATTGATGTATGCATTCCTGACAAAGGTGTACCCCTGGAGCTGACTAGTACCTAGCACCTAATTATATTAGTGGGCTATAGTTGGGGCCCCTGTCTAAGGTGGTGCATGTGAAGCTGTCCCTTTATGAGTGTGCAATGGATGGCTGATGGCAGGGCGTGATGTAAAGGGGTCTCTGGTCAAAAAAGCCCCCCCCTTTACATCAGAGTCCACAGAGCACCTCTTATATCTGAGTCACCATTTACATTACAGTTCACAGAGCTCTCACTTACATTAGTTTACTCAGATCCTAGAAGAAGGGAGGGAAGGGGGACACTTCACACACCATGGAAGGTGAGATCACCAACTCCAGGAAGGAGGCTGCACATTTCCTCCACGATCTAGCTGCTGGGCATTCCCAATCCCACCCACTCATACCCTTTGTGAAGCACAGTGGAGCTGGAATGTGGGTGGGCCATGGGAACACATAGCAGAGGGGTGAGAGGAGGAGTAGCTCATCCAGCTCTCTCTCTCCCCTCTCCTATTCGTGAGAGATGCTGGAATTGGAATGTGGGCAGGGCCATGGGCACACACAGTTGAGGGGTGGGAGAAGGAGGAGCTCATCCAGCTCTCTCTCTCCTCTCCCATTCATGAAGGGGGGCTCTCAGTGCTGGTTCAGGGCAGTGTGGGAGAGAGTGTAATAGACACTCTCTGCTCACAACTGCAGCTATCAACCCTGCCATGGAGCCATAGTAGGGGCTCTTGGCCCCCCCACAGTGATAGAACAACAGGGCTTGGTTGCAAGTGCGACCTTTGCAACCCTAGTAGTTCTGCCACTGGCTGATGGGCTGCTAAGCAACGTGCAGTTTCTGTTGCGTTAACTGTGTGCAGATTAAGCTTTGTAGTTCCACTCACCACTCCTGGCAGGAAACAGGTCCAGACCCATACACTTGGCGGTCAGTTGTTCCCAAAGTCTCAGTCCTCATGATTGGGTCCTCCTGATCAGGTACCTACTAATGTATGCACACATAGCAACAGTTCTCTCCAGCTCTGGTCCCAGCACTGTGGAAGCCCTTTCAGTGGCTCAGTCCCCAGTGCTTTCAGTTATGGACACAGACACCCCAGCGAGTGGCTCTGTCCTTTCTGATGTAGGCACAGACATCCCAGTGATGGGTCCACACTCTCTGGTTCCCACACTGCAAACTATGGTACCGGTCTGCACACCTCAACTTACTGCAGCAAAAGACCCAGATCTCTCCAGAATTGTCTGGGAAAAGTTCTATCTCTCCTCCTCCTATGTGCAGGGAATCCAGGTATTAAAGTCCACAGCTCCAGCAGCCTCCCTTCACTTGCATTGTACTGTGCTCTTTTAAGGACTACAGTTCCCAGTATCCTTAGCAGATGCTGCATAGCAAGTCTTCTTGCTGCTGATTGGCTTGGGTCTGCTGCTGCCAGGAGGGAGGGGGGTCAGCAGAAAGCAGGGGATCACATACGGAGCCACTCTAATCCCTTGCACTGCAGAGGTGAAAGGAGAAGAGCTGACAAAGCAGTGAAGCAAGGTGAGAAAGGATCACAGCCTGCTTTCCAGCCGCTCTATCACACACAGCTGATGGGCACCCAGCTACATGAGGAATTCATTCTTGAAGCTGTGCCCAAAATAGAAAGAGTGCAAAGGACAATTCACCAGTGTTGACTGTGGTCTTCCTGCAGCTGACCTAAAGGCTAAGTTTACCTTTTGTAGCATGTTGCATGTGACACCCATATTTGGGGTGTAATGTGTAACTTGCACCAACAGTGTAAACATCTCCTTTCAGAGCTGTAGGCCTGAAACAAACACCACCTCCTTTCACAATTACCATCTACTGCCCCCATGAACACACCCTGCCACCATTAATGCCATCTTCTACAGCTGCTGGTCTAACACCATAACCATCTCCTGGCACCACAGTATACCCGCCAGCATTACCATCTCAAATGAGCCCCATACGAGGGAACAAATAAAATCTGCTTACTTACTGTCAGGAAACCCGTTCTATTTTTCTGGCTTTTGGCTCTGACGAAGTAAACTCTAATTTTTATTACATGATGAAACCTGCCTAGTCTCTCTGTCTTTTATTGTATCCTAGTAAGAACACTTACAGTTATGCAGCATGTGTGTGTGCAATATTTCTGGCTGTGGACTGTGACTTAATAAACTGACATTTTTTTTCACAGTAAAATATGCCTTATCTCTCCCTCTAACATAGCGGCCAAGTTAAAATGCTTATAATGTGCAGCTATTTTATACATGGCTGTTGTCTCTGCATCATGGCAGAAATAACAACTGTTATTTCTTGATTAAAAAAAATACTCATCTCTCCCTGTTACAGTGCCCAATCAAGATGCTTACATAATCTGCAGCCATTGTACTATATGAGTGGCTGTTGTCCCTGCATCATGGCATTGTAATTTTTTAATTTGGCACAACTGGCTTATCTCTGGAGATAATTGGAATGTTTGTAGTGTAATGATAACTGTAATTGATAACTGTAATGTTCTGTAAACTATGTGCAGCTTTAATGCATCCCATGTTATTTGAAGGATTTTTGTATTTTCAATGTTGGCTTTTTAAACCACCTGAAAAGACCCTCTCTCAGCTGAACATTTTTTTTTTCAAAGGTGCATGCCCCCCTGGGCAGTGCTCAGCTCCATGTGCCCTTTTGTTTGACAATCTCTAGCCCAGCCTTTCTCAACCAGGGTGCCCAGGCACCCTGGGGTGCCTTGAGGTATCACCAGGGGTGCCTTGGCAAAATGTCTAAAAATGTCCCAAAACTTGTACAAAAGCCAGCGGGTGGAACAATCCTGCCTTTTAATTACGCAAAGTCACAGGTTTTCATTGTGCACCATTCCGACCTTCTAGCTGTCGGTGTCCTGACAACCAATGACATCATTGGGTGATAAGGAGGATGTCAGCTACCTGCACAGTATCCTGGTTTGACCCTCCCCTGCCCCTTTTCCATCAGTGCTGGGGTCACGTTAGCTTAGTGATGGAGTTTTTTCACAATTTTAGAATGGGGTGCCTCAAGGACTATCCATAATTTTAAAGGGTGCCTTGTGACTGTCCATAATTTTAAAGAGTGCCTCGGGACTGTCTATATAATTTTAAAGTGTGCCTCGGGACTGTCCATAATTTTAAAGGGTGCCTCGGGACTGTCTATAATTTTAAAGGTTGCCTCGAGACTGTCCATAATTTTAAAGGGTGCCTCGGAACTCGGTCCATATAATTTTAAAGGGTGCCTTGGGACTGTCCATAATTTTAAAGGGTGCCTCGGGACTGTCCATAATTTTAAAGGGTGCCTTGGGACTGTCCATAATTTTAAAGGGTGCCTTGACTGAAAAAAAGGTTGAGAAACATTGCTCTAAGCCTAATAGCCTGACAAATTGCCTGAACTGATTCTTACGTTTCAGATCCTATTAATTTCAATAGGGTTCAGATTGATGTCTGAACTTTTGAGCAATTTAGTGAATTTTTCTGCAAAACCCAGCTTAGTAGGGTTCAGCTCATCCTAATCAGAAGGTGCACTGCTTGCCATGTGCTTGCAGATAAAAGGTTTCCAGGGTAATGCTTGGGCACAATACAAATATTTAAATGTTCTTATAACATAATAAATCTTTACTTGTTTACTTTAAACCGCTTGCCGCCCTGCCACTGTGTTATGTACGTGTGCAGGGCGGCAGTGGAGCGCAAAACCACGTTTTAAAAACGGGTTCCGCGCTCCCGACACTTTTCGCCGGCAGGGGGCGCGCGCGCGCTCCCCCGCCGACCCGCGGGTGACACGATTTGATCCAGGAGGGGATCAATCATTAGATTTCAGCCAGTGATTTCTGGCTGAAATCACATGATCGGGTCCCTGTCCTATCCTGTCCTGTGTTGACATACACACAGGGCAGGATATGATGTCATTCTTCTCTGCCTGGACACATTCCGTTCCAGACAGAGAGAAGAAGACATCCAAAAAGTGAGTACACAAGCACTACACTACAGTTAGAACACTCTAGGACACATTTAACCCTCTGATGATTCGCGGCCCCCCCCCCCCAGTTAACCCTTCACTGCCCTGTCACCAGTGTCACTGATCAGTGAAGCGATTTTTACTGATCACTGTATCAGTGTCGCTGGCGACTTCCGATAGAGTTTAGAGAGCGCCCCTCCCAGATAGCGCCAGTTTGCCCGCCAGTACACCAGTAAATCCCGTTTAACCCCTTGATTCGCCCCCCCCCCCCCAGAGTTATAACCCCTGCACTGCCCTGTCACCAGTGTCACTGATCAGTGAACCAATTTTTACTGATCACTGTATCAGTGAAGCTGGCGACTTCCGATAGAGTTAGCGCCCCTCCCAGATAGCACCAGTTTGCCCGCCAGTACACCAGTAATCCCCCGTTTAGGGCCCCTTGATCGCCCCCCCCCCCTCCAGTTTCTAAATCCTTCACTGCCCTGTCACCCAGTGTCACTGATCAGTGAACCAATTTTTTACTGATCACTGTATCAGTGTCGCTGGCGACTTCCGATAGAGTTAGCGCCCCTCCCAGATAGCGCCAGTTTGCCCGGCAGTACACCAGTAATCCCCGTTTAAAAAAACCCCTTGATCCGCCCCCCCCCCAGTTAACCCCTGCACTGCCCTGTCGCACCAGTGTCACTGATCAGTGAACCAATTTTTACTGATTTCACTGTATCAGTGTCGACTGGCGACTGTTCCGATAGAGTTAGCCGCCGCGCCCCTCCCCAGATAGAGACGCCAGAAATGCCCCGCCAGTACACACCAGGTAATCTAAGAAAAACCCGTTTCCCCTACAAAAAATACCCGGGACAGGCCCCCTTGATCGTCCCCCCCCCCCTCCCCTCCAGTTAACCCCTTCACTGCCCTGTCACCCAGTGTCACTGATCAGTGAACCAATTTTTACTTGATCACTGTGATCAGTGTCGGGGCGCTGGCGGTCTTCCGATAGAGTTATAGCGCCAGTACCCCTCCCAGATAGCGCCAGTTTGCCCCGGCAGTACACGTTGGATTTAACCAGTAAATCCGCCGAACCCCGTTTTAAACCAACATAACCCCTTGATCGCCCCCCCCCCCAGTTAAACCCCTGGCACTGCCCTGTCACCAGTGTCACTGATCAGTGAACCAATTTTTACTGATCACTGTATCAGTGTCGCTGGCGACTTCCGATAGAGTTAGCGCCCCTCCCAGATAGCGCCAGATTGCCCGCCAGTACACCAGTAATCCCGTTTAACCCCCTTGATCGCCCCCCCCCCAGTTAACCCCTGCACTGCCCTGTCACCAGTGTCACTGATCAGTGAACCAATTTTTTACTGATCACTGTATCAGTGTCGCTGGCGACTTCCGATAGAGTTAGCGCCCCTCCCAGATAGCGCCAGTTTTGCCCGTAACACCACCAGTACACCAGTAATCCCGTTTGCAAACTTAAAATTTTGTTAAACCCCTTGATCTCTCTTTTTTTACCCCTTGATGTCGCCCCCCCAAGGGCCCCCAGTTAACCCCTTCACTGCCCTGTCACCAGTGTCACTGATCAGTGAACCAATTTTTTACTGATTCACTGTATCAGTGTCGCTGGCGACTTCCGATAGAGTGTTAGCGCCCCTCCCAGATAGGGCCAGTTTGCCCGCCAGTTACAACCAAGTTAATCCCGTTTCAATAACCCCTTGATCCGCCGTTCGCCCCCCCCCAGTTAACCCCTTCACTGCCCTGTCACCGGTGTCACTGATCAGTGAACCAATTTTTATATAGATCACTGTATCAGTGTCGCTGGCGACTTTCCGATAGAGTTAGCGCCCCTCCCAGATAGCGCCAGATTTGCCCGCCAGTACACCAGTAATCCCCGTTTGAAAACCCCTTGATCGCTCCCCCCCCCCCAGTTAACCCCTGCACTGCCCTGTCAAAACCCGACCACCAGTGTCACTGATCAGTGAAGCGATTTTTACTGATTCACTGTATCAGTGTCGCTGGCGACTTCCGATAGAGTTAGCGCCCCTCCCAGATAGCGCCAGTTTGCCCGCCAGTACACCAGTAATCCCGTTTTAAAACCCCTTAATCGCCCCCCCCCCAGTTAACCCCTGCACTGCCCTGTCACCAGTGGTGTCACTGATTCAGTGAACCAATTTTTACTGATCACTGCATCAGTGTCGCTGGCGACTTCCGATAGATTGTGTTGCGCCCCTCCCAGATAGCACCAGAATTGCCCGCTAGTACACACCAGTAATCCCATTTATTTAAAAATACCCCCTTAATCATCCCCCCCCCCAGTTAACCCATTCACTGCCCTGTCACCAGTGTCACTGATCATGTGAACCGATTTTTACTGATCACTGTATCAGTGTCGCTGGCGACTTCCGATAGTGTTAGCGCCCCTCCCAGATAGCGCCAGATTGCCCGCCAGTACACCAGTAATCCGTTTTTAACCCCTTGAGATCGCCCCCCCCCAGTTAACCCCGTCACAGCCCTGTCACCAGTGTCACTGATCAGTGAACCAATTTTTTACTGATCACTGTATCAGTGTCGCGCTGGCGACTTCCGATAGTGTTAGCGCCCCTCCCAATAGCGCCAGTTTGCCCGCTAGTGCACCAAAATCCCATTTAACCCCTTGAATCGCCCCCCCCCCCAGTTAACCCCCTTCACTGCCCTGTCACCAGTGTCATTGATTACAGTGAAAAGATTTTTACTGATCACTGTATTAGTGTCACTGGTGACTTCCGATAGTGTTAGCGCCCCTCCTAGATAGCGCCAGTTTGCCCGCTAATGCACGGGATTTTTTTTTACCAAAAACATGTAGCAGAATACATTTTGGCTTAAATTTATGACTAACTTTGAGTACTACGATATTTTTTTTTATAGCTGAAAGTAGAAATATTGTTTTTTTTCAAAATTTTTTTGTGTTTTTTTTGTTTATAGCGCAAAAAATGAAAAAGCGCACAGGTGATCAAATACCACCAAAAGAAAGCTCTATTTGTGTGAAAAAAAAGGACGTAAATTTCGTTTGGGTGCAGCATGTTGCTTGACCGCGCATTTATCATTTGAGTTAATGCAGCGCTGTATAGCGGGGCAAAAAAAGGGGCATAAATTACAGTATCTATACCATAGTTTGTAGACGCTATAATAACTTTTCACACAAAGCAATCAATATACACTTATTGGGATTTTTTTTTACCAAAAACATGTAGCAGAATACATTTTGGCTTAAATTTATGACTAACTTTGAGTTTAACGATATATTTTTTATAGCTGAAAGTAGAAAATATTGGGGTTTTTTTTTTTTTCAAATTTTCTCGTGGTTTTTTTGTACATATATATAGCGCAAAAAAATAAGGGGGGTAAATCCTCTGGGCTCAAGTGGTTAATTCCACTTTAAAGTTGAGGGAAACTTGAAATATTAAAACGTGCTATCAGGTGAATTTCATGGCAGAAGATACACTGTATGTCTCTTTTTCCTGCAGGCTTCCTGAAGATGTGCAATTTGGATGAAACACATTGAGGCGGGTACTTCTGGTCAGGACATCACTTCTGGAGATATCAGTTCCTGGAGGTAGAACTGGTTTCTGAGGAGAAGGTGGACATCTTCCCCATAGTGAACAGCGCTGAATACACCTAGTGCCGGTTCATAGGCACAAATACAAGTGACTGCATACATGTAAAAGATGATGGCTTTTCTGTGGCATTGTTTCCCTTGAGTTAGAGCAGAACATTACAGAAGGAGGATACAGACCTGTGATCCCTGGGATGCATGGTCATTGGAATCAGTGGGTTTAACCCAAAAAGGCGCAATTTTACGTATCTATCCCTAGAGGGTCAAAGCTGTCTGGTGAATGCAAGTCTGTATGGGGGCATTTTACTTCACATCTGGAGAGCTGGCGCTCTATATGTGTCTTGTTTGGGAACACGGGTATGTTTGATATATTGTGATGAGGAACACTGCCTTTTAACAAATGTATGGAGTATTTGTGATACCAGCCTTTGTATATTTATATTTTATAGTCTGTTTGCACTTGTATGTGATTTTCACAATACTTGCACGTGGTAAGTACTTTATTAATTTTGGTATATATAGCAGAGTTTATACACAGCAGCGCAGTTTATTGTTGTGAAAGATACTTAGAGAGTAGTGTATTACCTATATCACTTTAAACTGTAGCAGCTGCAATTTGTTGCATATATTTATTATACATACACAGTGGATTTATTTTGGTGGCTCGGGAGGTCAGAGTTTTTAATCGGTAGCATTTTGGAACCTCTAGGAAGTTATTACTTTTTTGGGGTTTTTGCTACAAGTTCTATTTTAGCACTAAACAAGTCAAAGTTTTCAGAGCCCATTTTTACACTATACATGACATAAATATTCTATAATGGAACATTAATCTAGGTGTCCTACATTGCACTGTAATGTGAGCACATAATGTACCAGGCATAATAACTACATTTGGCATTAACAGTGTAATACTGGTTGGGTGTTTGACTTGTTTAGGAGATTGTTTTTAATTATATTAATAATTATCCCATTAATGTGAACCATG